AATACAGAATAGATCTACCTATGTTTTATGAAATTTTATGATTCATATGCTCTGAATTATCGATTGTGCAAGAAATCATTTAAATTATAGACTATAAAAGAAATATAGAATAAATCTAATATTTAATGAAATTTTGTGTTTCATGCTTTAAAATATTGATCATACAAAAAATTACAATATTTATATACCGACAGAATATCGACAGATAAGATACAGAATAGATATGTCATTTAAATTATCATTCTATTTTGAATCGATAATATGTGATATGAAAATAGTAACAAAAATTCAATTACACTATGATACGAAAATACATTGGATGATAAGGTCTATTTTATATTTAGTTGATGATATATTTATAAGAGAATAGTTAATTTAAGTTCAGATGGCAGCACATGACTCACAAATGGGTTGGGCATTAAGAATCATTTTTTCGTATATATATTGTGAATATTAATTGTACATAAAATAATTTTTTTTTTCTTGAAATTATTAAATATAATTTAATGACAGAATGACAAAGCAATTGTATTTATTTTTATTCGCTTTATATTTTATGTGGCAAGGTAAAATTGTATAATTTATAAAATTATATATATTTTATTTATATATATAATGATTTTTACTTTAAATAAAAAATAAAAATATTATTTAAAATCTTTTTAACTATGAAGAAATATAATATTAATAAAAACATATTTATTCAATATTTTTATAAAATTATCTTATAAATATTATTTATTAATATTATAATTTTTTATATATTTTATAATATACAAATAACAAATCAATATATGAACATAATTTCATATTCTTTTTATATGTCTTTTTGTATGTTTTTTTAGTTATATATTCCATCCAAGAATCAAGTCCTTGTCAAATTCCATTAATTATTAGAGGATCTTGGTTTTCATGGGAAAATGGAAGAAATACGTTAACAGAAATAAATGCAGAAACAATGACTAATCGTGGCAAATGTGTAAATATGTTGGAAGAATATCATGTTAATTATACATTTGTGTTTCAAAATGAAGCATGTTATCATTGTGTTAAATTAATTGTAAGAACAGTAAATGTATTGGAAAAACTTGAAGGTAAAATAATTATAATAAATTTAAAAAATAAAAATATATATAATATATAAAAACTAATATTATTACTCTTATTTATATTTAGCATATTGTGTGAATTTGCCCAATGATATTGAGCCAACAGTGGAAAATGTATGTAGAGGATTACGTCCTGATCAACAATTAATAACATTATTTTCAGAAAATTATGTTCCTGTAAATTGTAGGTCATCTCTTGAAGGTGTTTGGCAATTTGCATATCAGGTATATATTTAATAGCTGAAATAACAAACATTATTATATATGAAGAAATTTATTTATTTTTTTTATTATTATAGAATCGATTCAGATTTACAGGAGAATGTAATCATCCAGATGCACAAATTAAATCATGTCAAACTGCAGGAACACAATTCCTAATAACTAATCAAAAATTTAATATAACATATAAACAATGTCCTGGTATGAAAAATACTTTTGATGGAGGTAATATTATTATTTTTTGATTATTTCATTTGATTAATTATTATATTTATAAAATTATATTACTATTCTAATTACTATTCTATTTTGTTTTGTTTTTTTTATTCTATTATAGTTGTAGAATATAGTTGTTTGGGAGATTGGTTTGTTGATAAAAATCATTTTTTTGCTGTTGCAAATACAAAAGAATCTAGAAAAGATGAAAAATATCGATGTTTTCTAAAAAATCGTGATGATGATTTGTTTATTGGAGTATCTATTACTGCAGAATGTAATACATTAAAAACAGTTGAAAAAAGTCCAGAACGTTTAAGAGTAACACCTGTTAAAGCAGAAGTAGTAGAGCCTGGATGTAGATTACCAGAAGATATGAGTGGACAATGGATAAATACTGCTAATATTGATGCAGATATATTTATTAATGAAACACATATAATTGAAACTTGGTATCCTGATGAAGGTCGTTACAGACGCACAATTTATGTTTGCCGCGAATCAAGAGATACCAGAGTAATGATGGCTAGATTAACCGTTGATGGATGGTATTGATATTATAATGTAGTTAATATATAATTTATCAATGATTAATTAATTTTTATTTTCAGCCAAAAAGATTATGTTTGCTTTGATTTTGTACCCCGGCATCATAATATTATTAGATATCGACGTGGGATAGCAGTTATCAAAGATGACTTTCATACTGTTTGTTCTTGGGTTCAATTTCCAAACAAAGAAGCTTGGAAATATGATTTATTTTTAGGTCAGCATTAAATTATTTTATTGCTAAAATTATGCTTATTAAAATTTTCTATCTATTTACAATGCTTTTATATATACATATAGCTAAAAATCCCGTACCTGTACGTTGTCCAGTTGCTGGCAAATATATGTTCACTCAAAAAGGAGATGTTTTATTTGAGACCAGAATTTTAGGGGGTGTTACATTATCTCCACGTCCAAACATATATTGCAAACAAAATATTTCAGATTTTTCTGTATGTGATACCGACCAAAAGGAAATTGCTATTGATGAAACTTATTGTTTATCAGTAGATCATTTAGGAAGACCTGTGGATATTTATAGTGAGTTCAATTATTATAGAAAAATGAAATAAAACAACATTTTATATTAATTACTAAATTCCTTAAGGTTTACCGGATTACAAAATGAAATGTATTGGATTTTGGAAAGAAAATTTAAAATCATATTTAATAACTTATGATGAATTAGATCCTTTCAGTAAATATCGTTGTTGGGTGTACCAAAGAGCTGATTTAAATAAAGTCCTTATGTCTCAAGCCATTGGGCCGTTTTGCGATCTTAAACAGGATGTTACAAGTAGTAATTATACTGAAGGTGCTGCAGTTGCATTAGAATTACAGGTAACATAAAATGTTTCTGTAAATTTATTTAATACAATTCTATAAATGATTTATGATTAAATTTAGGAATATGAAAGAGAACGTGATCAGTGTCCAATGTATTTTGATGATGGAAGTAATCCATGGATCATAACTGAAAATTATATAAAAATATTTCATTATGGTAGTGGAAGTATAAGGACTTCAGTTTCATATTTATTTTTATTTTTGATAATCAATATATTTTACATCTTTAATAGAAACATAATATAACATATTTTATTAGGATAAGTTTCATTTACAGATATTATTGATAATACTATAATTAATTAGATTTATAGTTTTAATTAATAATTTTTTATTCTCATATATTCCAATTTTTATGTACAAATAGTTTATTAAACTTGAATAATTATATATATAAATATTAAATAT